ATATATATATATATATATATATATATATATAAATATATATATGTATTCATACGGTGACTAAGGGTAATATACAAGAATATTCCATCTTCATTAGCACTACTAAAATAACTTAATACTTTCAGTAAGACTCGGGACCCTTCTCAGGGCCTTTAGTTAGATTATGATGTATGATCGCGTAGATTATGATTTATGTAGAGCACTAAGCCTGTGTGATTCAGTCAGTGCATGGCACAGTGCAAGCTCGATCCTACCTCAAACATGTAAAAAACTAAATAAATATGCAGAAATTGCAACAAGACTAGTGCTTGAGCTGAGAGTGGGAAGTTAGAAAGACTCAATAAACGGAAGGTAACCACTTTACAGACTAGACGCATTAAGGGGGGTTATAATAACAACGTACAGGATCTTCGGGGACTTGGTAGGGCAGACAAGGACCCACTGAAAGGTATAGATGAAAGATAAAAGGTCGAAGTTGGAAGTTAAAAATGTAAATGAGCCACTGGACTCTCAGAAATACTTTATCCTCAGAGTAGTCAAAGTGGTTCGGTTGGCAGCGCACTCAGCTCACATACTGAGTGTCCTTGGTTCGATACTCTGCATGGGTAGAAACGTTGAGCATGTTTCCTTACACCTGCTGCCCTTGTTCACCTATCAAGTATGAACCTGAGTATTAATCGACTGTTGTGGGTTGTATCCTGTAGGTAGTAGTACAGAGGGGGCTGAGCTTTGAAATGAGCCGAGGCAGGACAACAGCTCCTAGCCTGTAAAACTGATGTGTAAAAGTAAAAAGTGGAAATACCTATACGAGGAAGTTTTAAAATATATACTTAATAAGTGTGCCAGGTGTTGATACTTGATTACTAACCAGGTAAGTGCGCACACACGAGAGACTGATGTCAGGAAGTATTTTTTCAGTCTCAGGGTGGTTGGAAAACGGAACGATCTCGGTGAAGAAGTTGTGGAGTCAAACTCCATACATAGATTTAAGAGCATGTACGATAGGACCCCAGAAGCTTAAGATAGAGGGAATGAGGCAAGCAAGTCGAGAAGAGGCCTGGAGCTAAGACTCGACCCTTTCAACCACATTTAGGCGAACACACACAAACGCATTAAGGCTCACACAAAACACTTGACATGAGTAATACTTAAGTCCAACAGTGAAAGAGAAGCCAAGAACCTGGCGGTGATGACCTTGACCGAGCTCACACAACAATGTTATGTGAAGCCTCTTGTCCATCACCACGTGTGATACATGTTCTCTCTAACCTTCACTAACACACACTATGTTCTCTCTAACCTTCACTAACACACACTCACATCAACAATCTTGTCCATCACCACCTGTGATACATGTTCATTCTCCCACCTTAACACACACACAATAACATTCCTTTCATCTTCCCACACTCGCATTAACTCAAACATCTCAACAAACGCTAACACACTCCACACAGTGGTTCAAAAATATACAAGACAGAGCTATTTCACGTCATTTGTTCTCAAGAAGACGTGGGAATGAATGGTTGAGAGTAGGACTTGTCTAGCAGAGAGACACCTACCACAGTACAGTGCTCTACACTTATTTTCTTATGAAGGTTAGTAGAGGGTGGAAAAAATATAAACTAAGATGATATATAAAGTGAGCAATCGGGGCATAAAATATATAAAGTTAGTAAATACAACATAATGATAATGGATGACAATACAAATAGATCCAATAAAGTTTATAGTTTGTCAGATCAATCTTTAAACCACCGTATAAAAAAAATCATTGTGGCGATTATATTTAACAAACATTCGTCAGAAAACCCTCGATATAATGTGAAAATGTTGTGTGATTCTGACTAATTTTAAAAGAGTTTTGCAACGAGGGAGAAATGCTAAGGTTTTTATAACAAGCAAGATCGAATTTGGAATACGTACATAACAAAGGTATGGTCTTTGCACCATAATATATTACAATGGAAATACGAGTTATGAAGTGAAAGAACAGATCGCACAACATACACTGAATGTTTAGCTCTGTGTAGACCTTCATCAAGCTTATTAGAAAACTAAAGAACCTGGAAACTGGAAAAGGAGAGCAGATATGCTTATCTCACATGTATAAACGGAAGAATGTGTGCTATCTATTTCACTCTATGATTGCAGACTCGCCGGGACATCTTTATATATACATTTATACAAAGTTATGAAAAAAACAGACACCGAGGATGGCTTGATGCCAAGAATAGATAGAAACCATAACGTTTAAACAAGCAATTTATGCGACACACTGGAAAATGATCTCTCCAACAAGTAGTAGCTGCCTGGGAAGACATCATAGAAGACATGTCAAACCTACGGGAATTAAAAAAGTATGATAAATTCATTATTACATGACGGGTCACTCAACACAGAAGCTCAATTTATGTCGCTGCAAATAGACGCGGCATTATTTTCTCCATGCACGAATATCTTAAAAAATAATTTTTCAAGGGGTAGATGGGTAAGCAAGTAAAAGGCCTCGGTCAGATGATCAAAAGCTCCAGGTGTGGGTCATCATATGACTAAGACCCGCGTCAGGAAAAAAGCATCCTGTTTCCTGACGAATCTTACCTAACCTAACCTTTCTCCCATCACACAGATAAGACTTTATTTAGTAATATGAAGTCTCTTGTGGATACTTAACACTACCCTGAATAATGCAGCTTTATCACAGAACACATGTTATACAACAAGCAGGTGAACTCTGTAGCTATGAGCAGATATGATAGAGCTCAAGTGACTTGTCAACATGATACACCTCAAGTGGCTAGTCAACAATGTCACTCGAGGAACCTACTAGTATGAGACAGGGCAAGGAACCAAGGCTCGACCCCCCAAACAACTAGGGGAATACCCACACATTAAACAAGATTCCTACGAAATTACCTATAAATAGGTAATCGTAATCTCCTCTCTCTAAGTATAAAAGTTGGATAAGGAAGTAGTGGGGACAGTGCACAGTTTCAAGAGTAACTACGGCCCGAGAGACGAGAAACCAACACTGCAGGTACAACTTGTGTAGGAGGCGGTGTGGGGAGATGAGACTGGACCCCCCACAATCATAAATCACTGACAGAACTTCATATTAAGATATGATAAAATTCAAGAGGGTTAGGACCAACACACACACACACACACACGAACGAACGATCGATAATTGCATGTTTCATCGCGGTAGGGAGGCCAGGCCGATTACCTTCTTCATTCACCCTACACACCCACATTTCCCCTCGTTATAAACCAACTTACCCACACAATTCTCTCGTTATAAACCCAACTTACCCACACAATTCCCTCGTTATAAACCAACTTATCCACACAATTCCCTCGTTATAAACCAACTTATCCACACAATTCCCTCGTTATAAACCAACTTATCCACACAATTCCCTCGTTATAAACCAACTTACCCACACAATTCTCTCGTTATAAACCCAACTTACCCACACAATTCCCTCGTTATAAACCAACTTTCCCACACAATTCCCTCGTTACAAACCAACCTACCCCCACAATTCCCTCGTTACAAACCAACTTACCCACACAATTCCCTAGTTACAAATCAATTTACCCACACAATTCCCTCGTTACAAACCAACCTACCCACACAATTCCCTCGTTATAAACCAACTAACTTGCATAATTCCCTCGTTAAAACCCAGCGTGCCCCCGCAAATCCCTGGTTATTAACTGCTAACATAAATGGTTATCACCAGTGTGGTTATACCGATCACTGCTAAACAACTATTTGCATTTACAATGCCAATTCCGTATTTTTGTTAACGAATATTCTCATCTAATACTAGAGAAATGCTATAAAATAAATAAATATAATAATATATATATATATATATATATATATATATATATATATATATATATATATATATATATAATAATAATATTATGTAGGACTGAATGGGTAAAACTTGCGATTTTGGCTTAAATAAGGCAAGCGAAAATTTGTGTATGCAATAATTTCGCAAAAATCATCCTGAAGCCAACGATAAAAAAATATATTTCATTGTTTATTAAATTATTGTAAACTTCTCTAAAATGTATTTAGTTGGATTAGGCTAAATTAAATTGAGCTTGTTATAATAAGGTTAGGTAAGTTTTCTAAGATTCTTTTGGTACAAAATTATTAATTTTTACATTAACATAAATAAAAAATATACATCTTTAAACGTATAAGAGAAAATTTTAGAAAAGCCTTAATTTTAAAAGAGTTCTTGCTAAGTGACCAATTTTACCTATAAGGCAAGACATTATATCAGTTTTACTTGATAATATCTGAAGTGCATTAAGTGATTCGTTTTATTCCAACTCGTCACTATTCACATACAATTCCACCTGCAATTACAAATTTATTTCACTGTGGAAAACATTTCAATAAAGCACTTACTGATGTGCTATGATTGCAACGCCATCGTTATATATTTTTTCAGCACCACCACCAGCACCACCGACCTCGCCATAACATCACCAAAATCACCAACTCTCTTTCATTCACCACAACTGTAGAGCACAGTGTATATCAATCGTCACAGAACACTTGTTACGGGGGAACTGTGTTGCTGTTAAACGTCACGTCACTAAAATTATTTATACTTTCCGCCTGTCAACACATCTCCGTCACTTTAACAGAGCACAGTGTATATTATCTGTCACAAAACTTTTGTTACGGAGGAACTGTGGTACAAGGAAGGCATTCTCCTTCAACTCCACAATATTACTAATATCTTGTAGACTTTCTGAAGTCACTAGAGCACAATATCGTCACCTTCGAAGGGCACAGTGTATATGAATCACCACGCAACACTTATTACAGTGAAAGTTAAGTCAGGAGGCGTATGGGTGTACAATACCGCGTTACAGCATCACTAAAATTGTGTAGACTTGAGGGCATCACCAGAGCATCCCTCAGCATCACAAGAGCGTCACTTCAGCACAACACAAGGTGAATTAATTACCTGGGAACACTTGTCACTAGCAGTGTGGCGGGAGGGAGATACATTACCCTGCCCGCTTTGTACTGCTACCCCACAATTGTGTTAAGTGAGGCGGGCTGCTAGCGGCGATGCAAGCTGCTGCTGCTGCTGCTGCAGCAGTGGCAACCAAACCGGTGTGTGGCTTGGCACCCAGTGACCACACGCACACACACGCACTCACACACACAAACGCACTCAAACGCGCGCGCGCACACACAACCCTCAACATCTTCCCTCACCACCACAGCGCTGCCTCCCACCAACATCCACCACTTTGTGGCATCATTTAACATAGTATTACGTTTAGTTTTTCCAACCTGATACAACAATTCTTCAGTTTACCAGAAAGGTATGACACTCCTCATGTTTTAAATAAAACTGGCAAACTGGCAGCTACACAATCTGATCACAAGTCAAAACTTCATCTAACACACACCAAAGAGGAGAGTTGCAAGCCATTAACAAGAGGCGTTCTCGAGTAACAACACACTAACCAAAATTACATTTTAAAAAAAAATGGCAAATTGGAACGTATACAATTCAAAACCAATCCGAACGTTCCTCCTGTGTTGACAGTTTGAAGTCGAGCACAAAAGACATTCTCACATTTCAAAGTTTTCATTTCTACCTTAATAATACTTTCTGTCATTAGTGCTTGAACAGCATCAATATCAATATCATTATCATCATCACTCCTCTCAGAACTCTTTTTCAAAAAATTCTAAAGCAAGCATACACAAACCTATATGTCAACTTGTTTAACGAAACTGACATACTGGTATTTAAACAGCCTAATAGCAATACAAGCCTTTGAGCAAAACAGTGATAAAAGTTTGAAGACTATTAGAGGAAAATTAGCTACGTGTGCCACCTCTTGTGTTATAAAGTTGTCCAAGTTAAAGGCCACACTAGCAACTAATGTGACATTTTATTGCGGCAAAATAAAATGTTACATTAGTTGCACTCTTGTCATTTTACGTAACATGTTGCCGGTAATCCTACCAGTGTTCTCGGCTTCTGTAAGTCTGAAGCCGCTCACAACAATTAAGTTACAGCAGGAAAAATATATAAACCACGGAACGGGTAAAGTTTGAACCCCTGGTGAGTCCTAAAACTCGTGTTATTACCATTTCATTAGTCATAATATAAAATTGCCAAATTAATATGTATAGTGCAAAAAAGACTTGAACCATCCTCTAGGTAAGATACAATACCTTAAAAATATTTGAACCCATTAGAAGCGGCATTCTTTAATTATACAGAAACCAGTATCACAGTTGAACCATAAAAACTGCCAATAACGACCCAACCATCCTTTAGGTATATATACAAATAACCCGCACATGGGAGAGAAGCTTATGACGACGTCTCGGTCCGATCTGCACCAGTTACAAGTCACACTAACACACGACGGTGAGGGAGCCAGTATATGCAGGAGAGGGGGACAGGGACGGGACAGAGGAAGAAGGAAGTGAAGAAGTAGTGGTAGATGTAATGTTGGCAGTGGAAGTAGTGGTAGTGGTGGTAGTAAGTAGGGGAAGTAGTGGCAGACAGAAAAGGGGTGTGAAGGGGGTATGGTAAGTAGGGCGATACGTAATAATAATAATTTACTGGTCACCAGTAATTTCACCTGGTAAGGTGACACAGGTGAGTCAAACACCACAAGACACATGGTAATGTTACACAGGCGAGTCAAACACCACAAGACACATGGTAATGTTACACAGGCGAGTCAAACACCACAAGACACATGGTAATGTTACACAGGCGAGTCAAACACCACAAGACACATGGTAATGTTACACAGGTGAGTCAAACACCACAAGACACATGGTAATGTTACACAGGCGAGTCAAACACCACAAGACACATGGTAAGGTGACACAGGTGAGTAACACCACAAGACACATGGTAATGTTACACAGGTGAGCCAAACACCACAAGACACATGGTAAGGTGACACAGGTGAGTCAAACACCACAAGACACATGGTAATGTTACACAGGTGAGTCAAACACCATAAGACACATGGTAAGGTGACACAGGTGAGTCAAACACCATAAGACACATGGTAAGGTGACACAGGCGAGTCAGACAAGTGACTCTCCAGGTTCTGAACTCGTTATGCATAAGGATGCTGGCCAAGGGCTCCTGATCCAAGGAATTGGAGCCAGTCTTACCTTCTTCGGATTAAACCCAAATGCCCTCTATTCCCTAAACGCTGAATGATCCTTACGGGTTTAGCGTTTCCCCTTAGAACACAATACTAATACTCACGGGAGCCAAGACAGACGTCCATCACAAACTTACCTGTAAAAAACAATGTATTACGTTACCTGCCCAGTGTGTGTGTGTGTGTGTGTGTGTGTACTCACCTAATTGTGGTTGCAGGGGTCGAGACTCAGCTCCTGGTCCCGCCTCTTCACTGAGTGCTACTAGGTCCTCTCTCTCCCTGCTCCACGAGCTTTATCATACCTCATCTTAAAGCTATGTATGGTTCCTGCCTCCACTACCTCACTTGCTAGGCTATTCCACTTCCTGACTACTCTATGACTGAAGAAATACTTCATAACATTCCTCTGACTCATCTGGGTCTTCAACTTCCAATTGTGACCCCTTGTTTCTGTCTCCCCTCTCTGGAACATCCTGTCTCTGTCCACTTTGTCTATTCCACGCAGTATTTTGTATGTTGTTATCATGTCTTCCCTAATCCTTCTGTCCTCCAGTGTCGTCAGGCCGATTTCCTTCAACCTTCCTTCGTAGGACATTCCCCTTAGCTCTGGAGCTAACCTTGTCGCAAACCTTTGTACTTTCTCTAATTTCTTGGCGTGCTTGATCAAGTGTGGGCTCCAAACTGGTGCTGCATACTCCAATATGGGCCTGACTTACACGGTGTACAGTGTCTTGAACGATTCCTTACTAAGGTATCGGAACGCTATTCTCAGGTTTGCCAGGCGCCCATATGCTCCAGCAGTTATCTGGTTGATGTGTGCTTCCGGAGACGTGCTCGGTGTTATACTCACCCCAAGATCTTTCTCCTTGAGCGAGGTTTGCAGTCTTTGGCCACCTAGCCTATACTCCGTCTGCGGTCTTCTTCGCCCTTCCCCAATCTTCATGACTTTGCATTTGGCGGGATTAAATTCGAGAAGCCAGTTGCTGGACCAGGTGTCCAGCCTGTCCAGGTCTCTTTGGAGTCCTACCTGATGTGTGTGGTGTGTGTGTGTGTGTGTGTGTGTGTGTGTGTGTGTGTGTGTGTGTGTGTGTGTGTGTGTGTGTGTGTGTGTGTACTCACCTATTTGTACTCACCTATTTGTGGTTGCAGGGGTCGAGTCCTAGCTCCTGGCCCCGCCTCTTCACCGGTTGCTACTAGGCCCTCTCTCTCCCCGCTCCATGAGCTTTATCAAACCTCGTCTTAAAACTGTGTATGGTTCCTGCCTCCACTACGTCATTTTCTAGGCTATTCCACTGCCTTACAACTCTATGACTGAAGAAATACTTCCTACTATCTCTCTGACTCATTTGTGTCTTCAACTTCCAATTGTGGCCTCTTGTTTCTGTGTCCCCTCCCTGGAACATCCTGTCCTTGTCCACCTTGTCTATTCCACGCAGTATTTTATATGTCGTTATCATGTCTCCCCTGACCCTCCTGTCCTCCAGTGTCGTCAGGCCGATTTCCCTTAATCTTTCTTCATAGGACATTCCCCTTAGCTCTGGAACTAACCTTGTTGCAAACCTTTGTACTTTCTCTAGTTTCTTGACGTGCTTTATCAAGTGCGGGTTCCAAACAGGTGCTGCATACTCCAGTATGGGCCTGACATACACGGTGTACAGTGTCTTGAATGATTCCTTACTAAGGTATCGGAATGCTGTTCTCAGGTTTGCCAGGCGCCCATATGCTGCAGCAGTTATCTGATTGATGTGTGCTTCCGGAGACATGCTCGGTGTGTGTGTGTGTGCGTGTGCGTGTACTCACCTAGTTGTGGTTGCAGGGATCGATTCACAGCTCCTGGCCCCTGGTGTGTGTGTGTGTGTGAAACAAGCCTTAATGCCCTATTAATCAACATTCTTTAAACTGTCTATGCAAGAGGCTTAATCAAGCATATTGTGGACAAAACATTGTATTTAAGAAAAGATCTTTTAATGTTATACGGGTTATACCTACTACCCGCACGTACTTGCCAATCAGATAGGCTTCAAACCAAGCCACAAACCACGTATTGATATACATCAAGGCTCTGCTGACAGGGTAGCGATCATAACTTAATGCTAGAAATCCAGAGTTTATCACATAGCTAATACCAGCAGAGTCACGTCCAATATGGCTGGTGACATGTGTAAACCAAGTGACAAGTGTACGTGACTGTAAAGCCTCAATGCGCTAGACAGATGCAAGGTAAAACAAACAAACTTTAGCGGTGAGCTGTTGCTGCTCCTGGTAATGAACACACACTGTGCTCAGCATGACTTTCTTGCTATTATATTACGCAGGCGGAAAACGCAGCTTTATCTACGCAGGAAAAAAAAGCACCTTTATCTACACAGGGTAAAACGCAGCTTCATCTGTGGAAAACGACACTTGTGTACAGGGAATGTCTCGTGGCGAAACGTTTCCTTTAATAAATATCCTGAACTGTACACAAGCGACCCTTCCCTAGATTTGTGAATATCCAGACCATTTACAACCATTTGTGCCTTTCTCTACACGTGGGAAACTCTGTTCCAATAAAGGCTTGTTCTGCACTCGTGTCTTTGTTTCCTTAATGTCGACACTAAACCAATTGGATCTAACCCTTTATGTCTGGATCCAATACCTTGTCTCTAAATCCAACCTTTTCTGTCTGAAAATAATCCCTTATGCCTGGATCCAACCCCTAATGCCTGGATTCAACCCCTTATGCCTGGATCCAACGCCTTATGCCTGGATCCAACCCCTTATATATGGATCCAATCCCTTATATATGGCTCCAACACCTTATATGCAGATCCAACACCTTATATATGGAATCAACCTCGACTTCCAATTGCTCAACTTTAAGTATCTTATGACTCAAATATTTCTCAGATTCATGTACTTATTAGTAATATTTTTATGTAACACGCTAAACCCGTGAGAATCAGTTGCAGAGGCCCGTAACTA